AGCAATTTTAAAGTGCCTTGGTAAGGGAAAAAAATTATTTGTATAAACATAATATACTAAGCAGTAAAAGTTTACAGAGTATAAAAATCACCTGGATAAAAAGAAATAGATTCATGTCAATGGATACTAAAAATGACCAAGCAACAAAATATACTAAATTTACTGGTAAATGAATTCCCATAACACACATGTAGTACTATATTTTTTGTGAATATGGCAATCTGCGAAAAAGGTAATTCTGGTGCTGTAGACGGCTGTGAGGGAGGTTGTGACAAGAGTGATTAGTAGGGCTCAGACATACTACGTGTTGGCGGAGTCAATGATTAGGTCTTTTTAGTAGAATGTTGTGAAGAATGGTATTCCTGTTAGGGCTAGGCTTCCAAAAAAGCAAGCCATGAAATAAAGTTACATTAATTTGAATTAATTTCTACTTAGGAATTAATTACATCAGACAAAGCACAGTACCTACACACAAATGTCTCACAGAAACCAATATATGACACAAAGCAAAATGTAAAAAAAATCCAAAATTCTTATGTATGCAATATAAAATAAATGTTTCATTAAATTAGTCTGCTAATGGCCCAGATCCTTTATAAATAAAGGTCTGTATCACCACGCCACGTAAAGACCTATGACCAGTTGAGTGCTTTCTGAAGGCAGAAGGAATACACATAAGGTAGTGGACGAAAGTAGTTATAAATACGAATTATGGGTAGTAAAAGTGACCAGTTATAGAACCAAGGACTATAATTGTCATGAGTATTTCCTCTCTATTTTGTTATGAATGTTTGTGTGTTTTCTTCCCTCTGCTTTCTTCCCTCTTAGCAAATATGTTTTCTTGCCTCTTATTCTCTTATCATGTAGCAAGATGTATTGTCTTTATATCACAGTATTTAAGTATTGTTAAATTCACATTATGGTATTTAAGTCATGAGCTATCAAGGAGAAAAGTAAACATCACTTATAGACTTTACCTCCTTTTCTGGAAAAGGGGTTATTGCATTTTCAGTTATATGCAGGATATTGGTACCATGTTAGGCAGAATTATGACCATATTATTGTCTTTATTGGGAGATTAAGTATGGTTTTAGGAGATGCATATGGGTGACAAGTTAACAAGTGATGGTTAAGTTTTGTGTGTCAACCTGACTGAGCCACAGAGTTACCAGTTATTTTGTCAAACATTATTATGAATGTTTGTAAGAGTGCTTTTGAATGAGATTAATATTTGAAGAAAAAATATATATATTTAAATCAGGAGACTGAGTAAAGCAGATTGTCCTCATCTAATCAGCTAGAGGCCTGAAGAGAAACTCTTGCCTGACTACCTGAAGCTGTGGCATTGGTCTTTTTTCCTGCCTTTGAACTTGAACTGAAAATGTGGACTCTTTTCGGGTTTCCAGCCTGCTGGCTTTTGGACTGGTACTTGTACCTTTCGCTCTCCTGGTTCTCAGGCCTGTGGACTTGAACTAGAACTAAACAATTGGCGCTCTCGTGTCTCCGGCTTGTCAACTACAACTCTTGGGATTTCTCATCCTCCATAATCACACAAGCCAATTCCTGATATAAATCTCTTCCTGCCAAGTCCTACTGTTTCCCTCATTCTAAAAATAACCTAAATACATGAGACTTTCCCTCCAGTGTTTTATAAACCATCTAGATCAGTACTGTTCAATAGGAATATAGTATGAGTCACATAAGTAATTTAAAATTCTCGACTGGTCTTGTTTAAAAAAACAACTAAAGAAGGTGAATTAATTTTAATATATTTTCTGCTACCCAATATATTATCATTTCAACATATAATCAATATTTTTAAATTATTAATTTTTTGTACCAAGTATTCAAAATCCAGTATGTCTTTTACACTCACAACATTCTCAAGTCAGAATGGCCACATTTTAAGTACTCAATAACTACATGTGGTTAGTGGTTACAGTACTGGACAGCATGGGACTGGATGCATTATCCTCCTCTCTAAGAAGGTATTCAGATCTTCTGCCTCTGACCCAAATGATCCAATTCCAAGCAAGCCACCACTCCTTCACTCCTTTGGGTGGGAAGAGAACACTCCAGTAAGGATAGGGAGTATCTTTCAATTGGGAAAGAGGAGAAGCAGAACTCTTCCTGGTTACTGAGTAAAGCAACTAAGAATTCCATTACTTTAACCCTAAAACTGTTGTCAGAATGAACTGTCTTACTGTTAAATCCAACACTCAGAATTTAGGAGCCTTGTAAATTCACTGAGTATTTTGCTGTCATTTGTAAATCACAATACAGGCAAGATACAAAGTTTACTAGGTGGCACCCCGCCTTATCCACGGGAGATCCATTCCAAGACCCCCCAATGGGTGCCTGAAACTGCGGACAGTACTGACTCCTATACATATTACGTTTTGTCCTATATATACATACACTTCATGGCTTCTCTTTGGCATAGCTGAATTGCCAGCATCACTACTCTTGCACTTTGAGGCCATTATTAAGTAAGAGCTACTTGAGAACAAGCACTGATACCAGGACAATTGATCTGATAACTGAGACAGCTAGTAAGTGACTAACCAGTGGGTAGTGTATGCACCATGGATATGCTGGATAAAGGGTAGGACGTTGTTATGTTGAACAATGCGCAATTTAAAACATATGAATTGTTTATTTCTGGAGTTTTCCACTTAATATTTTGAGACTATGGTTGACTACGGATAACTGAAACTGTGCAAAGTGAAACCACAGATAATGGGAGACTACTGTATTCAAGTACATGACATTCAACTATGTTTTTCTCCAGTTTCCTGGGTTATAACAGAAATTAGTCCTTCCACTGCTTATTACAAACTCCACGTTAAATGCAAATTTAAAAGTCCTAGTTATCTCAAAGGACTGTAGTTTCTAGTAAGTTATTCTCACTATACATCAAAAGGTAAGTTTCTCCTTTTTCCTCTACTAGACATATTTTTTTTTGCCTCACTTGCACAAGCCACTAGAAAGATGTGGCTCTCGAAAGCTCATAAAATCTACACACAGATATAATTTTTCCATTCATTAACGCACCAAGTTCTACGAAACTCAAACAGATAAAAGGGGCATAGTTCCGATATACTGTATGGATGGAATAAACTTTTATTCTAGCGCAAGATAGAAACTATTTTTATCTCGTACAAGTCAGTTCCATGCTCCTCACTATCATTTAGTCGGGGAATAGAGGCCGATCAGGAATTCTCAGCACGTACCTGCCTTTGAGTGAACCTTCAATGCCAACGAGGAAGGGAGCTTCCAAAACGACGTTATTTGTGACTCCTAGAAAGAAAAAAAAAAAAAAAAAAGCGGGCCAGAATGAGTAATTATGAGGCCTTGGAAGGGAAAACCTACCCTCTCTAAACAGGATCATCATAGACACAACAATCAAGAAAAGTTGCCCCCATCCCTGGCAAAGGGTTAATTTCCAGACCTTAATCCCGTATTCGTCACAGCTTGCTCTCCGATACCCCATGAGAAAGCTAGAACACCCGCTTGGGCCCTCCTTCGCCTTTCCCAGACACCACCCCACCCCGCAACTCACTGGAGAAGACCACGGCCCCGAGGGACCGCGACAGGTCCCAGGCGAGGTGCACCGAGTCAGCAAGCACAGCGTGGCATTTCGCGCACTGGAACACGGCGCACCTCTCGGGCAGCAGCCATGACGGTAGCCGCTGGCCGGATAGCGGCTCCTCGATCCCCAGCGCCGCGGGGCCAATCGGCGAGGACCCCTTCACCACCTGCGTGTCCCACTCCATTGAAATTGTAAAAGAAGGTTCGTCAGTCATCTTAGTGCCATCACAAAAGTCGCCCTCCCGCAGCTTTGGATAGCCGGAAGAACCTTTCAGCGGCAGGACCGCCATCTTCATGCAGCTGGCGCCACGGTTTCGTACACGCACCAGGCCCCGCCCCAAGTATGGTTCCTGCGTCTTTATTGGACATCGTGAGCCGGGGGCTCCGCAGGCCTTCGGCACCTAAGCGTTGGTGATTGGGGAGAACTTTGCTGCTGATGGCAAGGGAATCAGACCTTCTATTGGTCAGTGCTAGGAAGCACCGCCTTTGAGACTTTTTTAACCAATGGGAGTGTAGCAGTTTTAGTTTAAACTGTGTATATAAGTGACTTCGTCACCGTTAAGATCGGCGCCAGAGTTTTGAACGGCGCTCCTTTTTTTGGGTGATTGGTACTCTGCGTGATTTCCTGGATTGCGGATCGCGATGACCGTCCCATCCGTGGAGGAACTGGACTCGTTCAAGTACAGTGACCTGCAGAGCTTAGCCAAGAGTCTGGGCCTCCGGGCTAACCTTAAGGTACGGGTCTGGTGGAGCAGGCGGGTGGCGGGAGGGTTAGGTTTAGCGGCCCTAGGGAGACGCGGAGGGAGGGGACGGAGCCCGTCCCTGAGACGGTAGATTTGGTCAAGGTAGATTTGGGTCCCTCCAACTCTGCAAAAGTTGGACCGAAAGGGAGTTATAGTCTTCACCCGATTTTGAAGCTGACTTTTCTGGGGGCTCACATAGGCCTCGGCTTCAAAAGCTTCGTTTGATTTTATTGGAAGTATTCTGCGATACTTCCCAGGGCATCAATTACGAAATGCAGGCCCAGAACGCTCAAGGAATGCTGGGCCTAAAACCGATTGTTAGGCAGTCGGAGAAGTAATTGCTTTGGCTTCTGGGAAATTCCAACAATAACACTTATGTAAATTGTAATAGCACCCAAAATTTCTTGCTACTTAGTAGGGGATCTGGAAGAAAGGTTTTTAGGGGACCATCCCCATGGATACATGTTTATAATTTATTCTTGATGTAGTATGATCATTCATTTATTGATCACTATTGTGGTAGTGTTGTTTCCAAATCAGTAAGGTCTTTTGACTCCGAGGCTGCAAAATGTTGGGATAAAATGTGAGGATTCAATTGGGATTAGGGTTCTATATTAAATTCTTGTGGAGTTGTTATCATAATGCTAATGTATCCTCTAGAGGTTCGTTCTGCTGGATGTGGTATTTACACTGAGTGAATGCCTAAATCAGGCATCACAAATGTTTTTAAATAGTTTAAACGAAGTAATCAGTGTCCAGGTACCTGTTGGGGCTGTATGATAAAGGAATGGCTTTGGAGATATTTCTGAGCTATGGTGTTTAACGGTTCCCTAATACTTCATAAACAAAACCTTAATACCTTAGCTTAAATACCTTATTATAGGCTTTTTGCAGTCTAGCTGGCATCTTTTATCCAAGACTGCATCCAAACTGGACTGGTCCCTGAACACTGGTACCTTTGTCCATCTTTGTGCCCTTGCTAATTTTGACCCTTTGCTTCAGATCCCCTTCTCTTTCTTTTTTTATGAATAATTTCCAATTCTCTTCACAGTCCAACTGAAAAGTCATCACTGACTTAGTTGCCTCGTCCCCTCCCTCCTCTTTATTTCCATAGCCACAGGTCCACCACCCCAGTAATCCCAGGACTCTCTGTGCTTTTAAAACAATTTAATTTCTTCTTTTAAAATTAATTTTTATGGTGACATTGAGTAACAAAATCTGATATTTCAGCTGTACATTTTAACAGTAAGGCATATATATATTTACATTGTGTGTTCACCTCCTATAGTTAGATTTCTTTGTCACCACATATTTGACCCCTTTTACCCTGGTAACCACTAGTCCATTGTCCATGTCCATGACTCTTTGTTTGTTTGTCCTGTTCATTTGTTGCTTTTAGGTAAAACAGTTTAATTTCAACTAGTGTCTTTGAGCAGGTGCCTCAAGAGACAATGATAGGTGGGGCTTTCAGGAAAAGATCTAAACTTGCAATAGCTCTAGAGATCTGAACTCGGGTAGGAAACCTCCACTGTAACTCTTGCTACCCTCTGGTGCATTATTCTAGCACTGCCAAAAAGTGGGTGTAAATAATAGACTGAATAATTATTCAGTATTATTAAAGTATTATTAATTTTATTGGTTATGATAATGATATTGTGGTTATGTTTCTCTCTCTCTCTCTTTTTTTGTCCTTATCTCTTAGTAATACATACCAAGTATTTACAGGTGAAATGTTATGATGCCTGGGATTTGCTCTAAAATACTCCAGGAAAAAGAGGGGGACTAGATGAAGAATAACAGAATGTTGATAATTGTTGAAACTGGGTAATACATGGGGGTTCATTACACTATTCCCTCTACTTTTGTATGAATTCGAAATTTTCCATAATTAAAATGTTTTAAATTATTTACAGTTGGTACAGTCCAGGAGCTCATTAAATCAATTGCCTTTTTGAATTCCAAGTACATAGTGAAAATGAATAAATTGCTCTAAGAAATTATCAAGATTTGATTACTTAAAAAAGTAACAAAAAGATTTAAATAAATTTCACCAGGATGATAACATTCTAAATAAATTTAGAAGATAAAATATTAGATTTTTCATTTGAGATACTGTTATTAATGGTAAAGCAAAATAAAGGAATCGGTTACTAATATTTATTGTATGGTCACTGGTCCTTTCCTCACTCATGCCCTCACTTCTTGCAAGATTAGATTACAAAGACTGGCACTATTTACACTTTCTTGCAGCTCCCCTCCTTCACCTGGCAAAATTCTAAGCCTAATAAAACCTAGTGATATACTTAATCAGTCCTTGCTTATACCTAACCAGCTAATTCTGGCTGGAGAAAATCACCTAAGTTTGTTGACTGAGCTTAATTTAATTTGATGACCATAAAGTGTAAAAAGAGCATTTGTTTCTACTATAATTCCTTAGTAGTCATTAACTTTCTGATATTTGAAGACAATTATTTCACATAGTCTCACCTAAGATTGGCTCCCTTCCCTCACCTGATGACTTTTCCTCACAGGTCATAGAAAAATAGATGCAATCAACTAAGAATTACCTCATCTTTCCACCACCAAACCCTCCAGACAGCCTGCACCTGTCACTGCCTACTCTGCCTCCCTCCTGTTAGTAAAAGTCTGTGTTGCCATTTGTGCTGGAGATTCTGTTCCCTCCTCTACTACTATACTCCTGCATCTCTCTTCTATATCAATTTCTCCCACTCTGTTCATTTCCATAATGCATGTGGTCAATTCTTCATATCACCCATCTTTAAAAAAAAAGAAACAAAAACTCTCTCCTGACCCCACGTCTTTCATCTACTGCCCAATTTCTCTGTTCTTTCTCACTAAAATTGCTTTTATCAAGGCCACCATCCCCTTCATCTTAGAAAGCTTATGATCCATCTCTATCCTCACCTGCCCCTTAGGAGCATTTGGCATGATTGAACCCTCCCTTCCTCTCACATCACTTTCTTTTCTAGACTTCTTTGATATTTTGTTTTCTTCTGCCTTACTAGCACTTTTCCCCAGTCTCCTGATTTTCTCCCTCTGGCAGATCTCTAAATGTGGAGTGCCTCAGATTTCTCTCCTTGGCTTTTTCGTCTTTAGCTTTCTCCCTTGGTGAGCTTATCCATTCTCATAACTTTAAATTCATCTAGGACTAATGACTCCCAAATCCACATTACCAGTGAGACCTCTTCTCTGAGGTGCTGAGTCATGTATTTAAGTGCATCTTAAGCAGCATGGCCAGTTCAAAACAATTAAAACCTCTTCCCAATCTCAGTGAATGGTTCAGAACCACTTTAGATTACTCTCATGCCTCCCTTCACTGCCCACACCCATTCATCCTCATCAGCTCTTCCTCCCAAGTACACTTGAACTATGACCTCTGTGCACTGTCTCAAACCTGGGCCATGGCACCCTTACCCCTTGACCACTGCTTCAGCCTGTCTGATACTCTCCTTGCCTTTACTCTGGCCTCACAATACTATTCTTTTGGTAGTCGGGTGCTATTTGAAACTTAGAATGTGCCATTTTTTCTGCCCAGTGACTTTCTTTACACCTCAAATAAAATTCAAACTCTTCCAAAAGTAATATGAAAAACTTGGCTTGATCCTGATTTGGAGGGAAATTTTTTAAAAAGAAAACTGCTAACATTGGAGACAGTCGAGGGAATTTGATTGTGGGCTACGATAATCCTAATATCCTATACTAAGGATATTAGGAAATTATTACTTTTCCTAGAGATGATAATGCATTAGAGGTTATATAAGAAAATATCCCCTTATTTTTAGGAGATGTGGCTAATGTATTTAGTGATAAAGTATCGTGTCTGGAATTTATTTTCAAATAGCTTGACAAGAAATATATATTAATATAGAGAAAGCAAATGTGAGACAATATTAAGGATTGTTGGATCTAGGTGGGGACTATAAGAATATCTACTAAACTGTTTCAACTTTTCTCTAGTATATGTGCTGCCAAAGCAAGCCTGTGACTTTTCTATAGACCGCATTTTTTGCAATAGTTAGAAGAAAGAAATCCACATTGCTCACTGTGGCCTGTAACCCTCTGTTGACCCAGACTCTGGTCACCTCTCTGATTGCCCTGCCCTCCACTTGCCCCAGTGTTCACCATATGGCTTCTTTCTGTTCTTCACATTCACCAACCCATTTCAAGGCCTCTGGGCTTGGTGTCCCTCTACTTGGAATACTCTTCCCCGTCATCTTCACCTGCTGCTTCTTCCTTTCCTTCACATCTCAGCTCTGAGAGTTCTTTCCTGACCATCTACTCAGGTAGCATTCCCACCTCAGTTACCAATTTTGTTTTTTGTTTTTTTAGCAATTGATGTCATATTATTTATTTTAGCTTACTTGGTTAATTGGCCATTTCCTCACTCTCCCACTGCTCAGGGCTCCTGGAAGGCAGAGACCCTGTCTTTCTTGTTCACTATTTCTCCAGTGCCTGGAACAGTGCTCAGCACAGTAAATGCTTGTCGAGGGAATGCATGAATATGTACTGATACTAATATTATATCTCCAGCTCAACTCTCTTGAGCATCACCCCATATCATACAACCTGCTAGATGCCCTCACACAGCTCTGCCACAAGCACCCCATTTCATCATTATTGTGTATTTGGTGAGGTTTTCATAGTATTTCAAGGTGTTCTGGAAATCTGTACAACAGTTTATGATTAACAATATTATATACTTAAAAATTTCCTAAGAGAATCAATCTTAGTTAAGTGTTCTTACCACCAAAAAAACCACAAAGGGGGCAATAGGAATCTGTTGAAGGTGATGGATGAATTTATGGCATTAATGATGGTTTCACAGGTATATAGTTATCTCCAGACACATCAAATTGTATGCATTAAATATCTACAGCTTTTTGTATGTCAATCATACCTCAATAAAGTAGTTGGGGTGGAGGGAGATATTAGAATCAGAAGAACCAAGAATGCTTAGATTCTGCCCTGCCAATCACCCCCTGCACAGAGAAGACCCCAAGAAAGGTTCAAGGAACAAAAACAAGTAGAAAATTAGGTACTACTTTATTATGAGCTGGTATGGTGTAAAGCATTCCGGTAAACTGGGCTGGAGCATGTGCTTCATACCCTAAACAGCCTCTCCTGTCCCTTGAAGCCTCAAAACAAATTAGAATCCCTGCCATTCTGTCCTGGACACATGGACAATGATAAATGTGAGAAGAGCTGAGCCCAGTGGCTGGTTCTTGAGAAGGGAATCTGTCAACTGTATAGCTGGATGGAAGAGGGAAAAAAGAGAAACTAGCCAATATGCTTGACCCTATATGCATAGAAAAACATTACAATTGGATTAGTGTTCCTCTTTTAGGAAGGAATAAGAAGATAAAGTTTCCTGGTGTGGGAAGAGGAACTAGGAGCCTTCCCCCAGGGACCAGTAACCATCCTCCTTTTAAGACCACCCATCTTTGGCATTCCCCATCTTAGGGCCCCCCCCACCCATCACATTTCACCAGCTGCCCAAGCCAGAAATCCAGTGTAATGAAGTTTCCCTATTCCTCCTCCCCCATATTCATGCTGATTATACTTTCTTGGAAGGTTTTGAATCTATCTATACTGCCTTAGCCCTATTCTAGCTCAGTCATCTCTGGTTTCCTACAACAGCCTCCTAACCGTTTCCCTATCTTCTTTCTTTCCCTCATCAAATGCATCCTTCACATTGTTCAACCAGAGTGATCATTCTGCGTAATACAAAATTGGTCACCCACTGCCCTACTGCAGACTCTTCAGAGACTGCCCTTTACCCTGAGGGGTAAAGTTTATACTCTTAAGATGCTTACAAGGCTTGGTGGGATCAGGGCACTGCCCACTTTCTCAGCATTCTCTCTCACCATCTTCAACAGCTCCACACTCCAGTCACACCAAACCTTTCTTCGAACTCCACTCTCATTCTTGCCTTCCCATGCTATTCCTTTACCCTTTTCCCTGCATCCAACTGTCTCCTATTCCTCCTTCAGACCTCTGCAGCTAGAGACATCATGTCTTTATCTTAGAACTGGTGTGTCTGAAGTCTACCCTTGTGTGTTAGACTGGTGGCCAAGCCCACCTGTGTTCTCTCACAATAGCCTGAGCTTCTTCATGTTGGCATTGACTCCACTGCATTGTCATTGTCCCTTTCCTTGTCTGACTTCTCCGCTCTGCTGTGAAAGTTGTGAGGGCAGGGATCAGTTATATTTTGGTCATCATTCTATTCCCAGAGCCTGCCCAAAGGACATTGGATGAATACAAGAACATGTGAAAATGTTCAACGTATCTGTCTTGCTTATTTGATTTTTGGCTTTACTGTTAAGATATTTAACTTTTCTGCAGGCAGACAAGTTGTTAAAAGCCTTGAAAGCCCACCTTAAACAGGAAGCAAGAAAAGAAAATGAGAATCAGGTATGGTTTTCTTTTTTTTTATCACTTACTTAATAGTAAAATAATCATTCAGTTAATGAGTGATAAACACAATTAGCGATGACTTTTAAGACATGTTGTTTATTACCAAAGAGGTCATTATTGGTAATAGTAAGTCCTTTCATAATAACTATTTGTTATAAATGGCAAAATTGCCTTGCACCAAGTAATTTGTTGAATAAGATGTTCTTATACAAAAGCAGAGGTTAATTACTAGTTGCCAAAAGTTACAAGAGATAGCATGGCATGTGTAGAGAGGGAACTAGATTCAAAGTCAGAAAAACTCAGGTTAAAGTAGCAGCTCTGTCATTACTTTTCATGTGACCTCAGAAAACTGAAAGTCCTTCTTAGTTTCCTGTTGTGTAAAATAAAAATAAGATCTGCACTGCTGAATTTAGTCCTATGAGAAGCAAATGAAATGACTATGAAAGTGATTTGTAGTAAAATAAACCACTATTGATGGGAGAGATTGTCATGGCTGCTTTAGACCCACACCAAAGATTTTTGACATGGCACGGCACCTAAATGGATTGTAAAATGCTTCGTTAGGGCAGGATTCTTAATGTGAAATAGAGGAAAATGTTGAAAGGCCTTAAAGAATTGGGCTTTGGAGAGCATCCATTATACATCTGGAAATGAAAGTAAGTATAAACATGAACTGAAAATCTAACTTCCTCTTCTCTGTCTTTATAGTCTCTGTAACTCTCTCCACGTTATAAACATTTAAAAATTTTCAATATTCAAAATTCTTTTTGATTCCAGGTTTTAAGTAACTTAAAATAGACAACAAAAAGAATTAATTTTGAATTCCAGCTTTAAAAGTTTTTACATCAACTAAATCGTATGTGTATGTGTTTGTGTTTAAATGGTTAAGGAAACATGATTATAGTGCTATCTGAAATCAAGATTTTACTTTGGCTGTAATTGATAGACTAAATTAAAAATGATCTACCGTACTTTAAATTCAACATCTCAGGGGCCATTCCATTTTGAAAATTTTTACAAGAGCAGGGTGGTAGTCAAAATTCAGTCAGATACAGAATTCCTAAGTGGCGAATCTGTCAATAGTGAATTTAGATTGATGGAAAAACCTGATATACACAAAGCGTTTATTTATCTAAAGCTACAGAAAGAGTCTGCACAATTCAAATACATGGCAAAGAGATCATTAATGTCACTAAGGATAGAGAGAGAGGTAAGTTTCCAAACCTCCAAATCATCACCTGGGGAGTGCACAGATGGATCACATCTGAGTAAGTGACATCGGATCTTCTAGAAGCCTTTTTCTCACACTGTAGGTCAGCCTTGACCAAATGAGTTGGAGCAGCTCTGAATATAGGCTGGTCTGGCTGTGTGCTGGGGACTTCCTCATCTGAACCAGATGTGCCTCTTCACTCTTGGATTAGGCAAGTCAGATAATATAATGCATTCAGGAATGAACACATCCTCCCTGATCACTGTCGGCCTCTCAGACTAACATACCATGGTTAAGGTGCATGGGGTTAAAACTAAATATCTCTGGGAGTTGTGTGAATAGGCTTCTAAACCAGTTATAGCACCTGTGCTATATATGGGGGCCGGGATAGGGGATAGGATAAATAAGTAAAAGCGTCTCTTTTATATTCTAGCAATATGTAGTATAACCCAAAGGTACCACTTCTATAGTGGAAAATTTCTTCTTTTTCTTTTTCCTTTCTTCCTCATGACTATCCAGGGAGTTGGAAAATGGAATCTAGATAGCATAATTCTACTGTCATGTAAATAGCCCTGCTCCTTTAAAGTTATGCTCACCTGTTCTCATCTTGCATCTGTTGACCTCCAGGTTGCTTTCCAGTTGTTCACTGTCTCATTGTCTTCCCCATCACCTCATGTCCTGGCCTTATTTTGGGTGAATTCAAAGGTTCATCTGGATGTCCCTTACTACCCTTGCCTCCTCATTCCTTAATACCTGTGACTTATTTCTACTATTCATCAGTTATCCACTTCTTTAGGCATATCCTGGGCCTTATATCCCTTGAAACTATATTCTGTAATATTTCAACTCTGACTAAAACCTCTCTAAGCCTCCTTATTCTTTTATTCTCAACACATTTACTTTATATCGTGGTTCTCAACCCAAGTTGTATATGAGAATCATTTGGGGAGCATTTTAAAAATATTGATATATAAGCATCACCAAAACTCAGGCCAACTAAATCACTCTCAGAGGGTGGGGTCCAGGCATCATAGTGAAATGGACTGCAAAGTCAGAATACAAAGCAGTCTACCCCCTGTGCAGAGTCCCAGGTACCTACTACCCTCTAAAATATTACATTTCTCTGTAAAGAAATTAAATGATTATCAAGCAAAGGCCTCTGCCTTCTGGCATTCAAGCATCCCCTAGCACAATAGCCTCCTCTCCACCTAAGAAATCTAGTAGATTCAGATAACAAGCACTCCCACACATTCAAGCTCTAATGAAGTTTTTGGTCTGAGGTTAGAATAGATAACCAACAGTAACAGACATTTGAGGAAAGCTTAAGCTCTCTTGAGAGCTTAAGATAAAAAATGACTCTAAAGGAAACAGATGACACAGCAAACAAAAACTTTAACCAAAAAAAAAGCCTTACAATAACATTGATTTATCAACTCTTAGAATCAAGCTACACAAAGCACAGATGATTCAATTAATTTTACATAACAGGCTATAAACGTTGTCAACTTTGAAACTTAAATAGATGACAAGTTGAGAAATAAAGGGAGGATAATAGGTAAAGAGAAGTATAAGAATGCTAATATGTGCAGTTTACAAGCTAGATGCATATAGTTGTGGAACAAAATTTAAAAGTGTTAAGTATATTTAAAGCTGCAAAAGTAACTGATAGAATGACTGGTGGTATGCTTCTGTTAGGAAGAAGATAGAGAGATGAAAATGGTACAAATGAGCTAAATTTTAGCACATGATAGACACTAAAAAGGTGGTATGCTTCTGTTAGGAAGAAGATGGAGAGATGAAAATGGTACAAATGAGCTAAATTTTAGCACATGATAGACACTAAAAACAGCTATTGAAAATATAAATGGATATCTCATTAGCAAATCACTAATGATATATAAGAAACCACTTGAAATTAAGTCTTAGAAATAGGAAGGGTAGGCAGAGAACCCATTGCTTTTCATTATAATCTCTTTAGTATTTGATTTTTTTAAGGCATACGTATGTATTGGTTTATTTCAAAAACTTTGAATTTATGTATAAAAAAATTAACACAACACTAAAAACAAGTGAAGCCTGTCCTTTATAGTCTCTAGGTAAGAGAACCTTCCTCACACTTATATTCATCTAGTTTTTTTCTAGTGCTTTTTCAGTTTCATTTTTTACATTTAAATCTTTATCCAGATTTCATTTTGGTGTGAGAGAATGATCAAGTTTCATTGCCCCCACCAAAAAAAAATATTAAAAACAGAAAAACCCAGGTTAAGTAGTAGCTGAATAATGAATCCAAACTTTCCCTTATGAATATGAATGAAGTACAGCCATTGTCATACAATGATTTCTTATACAAGCAGTTCTGTTTGGAATGTTCTGGTACATGTACCGCAGTTTTGATAATGTAGCTCTTAACTTTCAGTTTAGGATACTGCAAGTTCCATTCTTACATTACTCCCTGATTTTGACCTTGGATAAGTTACTTTGGACTCTAAGCCTCAGTGTCCTCATCATTGAACTGTAGATAATATTAGTACCTGTCTCACAGGCTCTGAGAAATAAATGAGATAGATAATCTGTGTAACACTTAGTCCAATAAAGCTGTGATATTAGCTGTAATTATTATTAGTTATAGCATACTGCCTGGCAAAGTATATATTCAATAAATTAATACACTTTTAATAACTTGCTCATTTACTGACGCTAAGATTGAATGCTTTCCTGGCCTAGTTTTTTAGCTTGGGTTGTTAAATGTGATTGTTTCTTTTCGAATACTCTATAATTCTTGTCCTTGCCTATAATTTAGTGCTAGAGAGTTTTAAAAATATCTTACATATGTAATATGTTTTTTATTCAGTTTAACTGCTGATTCTTCCTGAGCATTATAACCTTATACATAGGGCACGAAATTAATGTCTCTCCTTTCAGTATGAAAATCAAATTTCTGCATCCTCTTATGATGAGACCGAGATACAGATGAGCAGCCAAGAACAAGCAGAGAGGGAGCTGGCTGGCCATGTCACCAAAAAGAGGAGAAAGCGCAGGACAGTCCACAGGATTCCTGACTCCCAGGTGAATAGAAGGGTTGAAACTGAAAATAAGCCACCACCTGTGCTGTAAGCTCCATGAACGCACAGACCCAAGTCCAAGCTGCTCATCATTGCACCCCCGGCACTGTGCTCGGGAAGCCTTTAAGTATTAAGCACAAATTAAATATTTGTTGAAGAAATATGAACTTTCATTAAATGTTTACTTAAGTGAAGTGTAGTAAATAAGAAGGAAAGAGAAACTAACATCAAATATGATTTTTTTTATTTTTATTTTTATTTTTTTCCTATTTTGTTCCAGGCCTGGTGATCACGCTGTTCTTAGTCTTTCAGCAATCTGGCCACGTCATTCCAGGAGCTTCCTTCACTTGCTTTGAGAGGACTCTGATTTTATGATCTTTTCATTTAAATGTAACTTTTATAATACATGGTCCTAATATTTATTTTTTAGCTTTGTACTGTCCCTTAGTTGTTAGCCTATCTGGGTCTCATAGTGTTTCTCATCCCTAAGAGAACTAATCTTGCCATTTATGCCTTCCACTGGTCCCTGGTTTCTCCTAGCCTCAAATTCACGCTCTCAGTGAGGCAGAGAACCAAATCTGCCACTCACATTTTATTCTACTTTTCTTTCTTTAACTCCTTTTCACCCTCAGTTTCAGACCTATCTTTGGAAGGCAGCGATTACTTCTTTTTTTCTCTTCTTTTTTTTTTTTTTCAAGTATCTGACTATAATCAATATTTTTAAGGGCATATTTTTTAGTAGAGGTATAATTGACATATAACATTAGTTTCAGGTGGACAACCTAATGATTCAATGTTTGTAGTGTTGGGAAATGACTATCACAATAAGTAGTTAACATTCATTACCATACATAGTTACAAATTTTTTTTCTTGTGATGAGAGCTTTTAAGTTCTACTCTCAGCAACTTTCAAATGTGATTACTTCTTTTTTTATCATTTAAATCATTTATTTTTTTTAACTTGTAGCAGGATCATTCAGACATAAAAACAAGAGATCCCACTGAGTTCCGCCATCAAGAAAAGCAGGAAAACCAGGAACTCAGAACTGCAGCAGAGGTCCCTTCTCCACTAGTCGAGAGCCAAGAAGATGCGAATGCAGTGTGCTCGGGGAAAAGTGGAATAAATGGTATGCCAAGTAACTAAAAAAAAATTCCAAAATTGCTAGGGAAGCTGTGTGCCTCAGTTTCCTAGGATTCCCATAACAAAGTGCCACAAACTGGGTGGCTTAAAACAACAAATTTATTCTCTCACAGTTCTGGAGGCTGGAAGTATGAAATCAAGGTGTCAGTTGGGCCATTCTCCCCTGAGATTCTTGGTAGAATCCTCTGGCTATTGACCCTTGGTGATTCTGGGCTTGCAGCTGCATCACTCTAAATCTCTGCCTCTGTCATCACATGGTATTCTCCCTGTGTGTCTCTTTACATGTCTTCTTAAAAGGACACCAGTTCTATTGGATTAGGGTCCACCCTAATGACTTCATCTTAACTTGATTACATCTACAAAGATGTAATATCACAGTTACTAGAGGTTAAGACTATAGCATATCTTTGGGGTAAGGAGGGATACAATTCAACCCATAACACCATTATATATAAGGATTTGGCAATTAAAGCAAAAATTAGAACCAAGTACAGGAGTCCATCAGGTCATCTTTAGTAACTTGAGAAACTAGAATAAGAGTGACAGCTGGGAAGTTTGAGAAAGTTGATCTCCGCTCAGTGATGAGGAGAGCCTGCACTTGGTCTAGTAGCTCCTTCTGGCCTACTCCAGAGACAAGTCAAAGACTTGTTTGCCTATTCAATAGAACAGTTGAAAGGGAGTTGCAAAGTCTACCTTCCCAGTGGTGTGGCGGCCTTTTTTTATTATGATAAATGTGTACTCTTCTTAGTCTCTAACATAAAAACCTCTTCCTTAAACATTCTCAACTTAAAGTTTAATTCAGTAACAGAAAACTTCAGTTCCCCTATACCTAACAGGACTTCATGCTTTCTGATTTCATTCCACAGAAAACCTAATTGCAACAGTCCTGGTGTTTGTTTCACCTTAGCCAATCTGTCTGGGCTCCTGAGGCTTGTCTGAGGGGATTGAACTAGAAGATGAGATATTCTAGTGTACATCAAGCAGTTAAATGCAGAATTTCTAATACTGAGGCTTCCCATTTTCCTCAGAATTTTGCATGTCTTCCTAAATCTAGTTCTAAGTGGTCACTGTTCTGATTCAGTAACTCTGAGGTGAGCCTGGGAGTCTGCAGTTTTTAATAAGCACTCCAGGTAATTTTGATGCATGTGCCTTATAAACTCATTTTAAAATTATGATTTAGAGCAAGTTGTTAAGAAATATGACAAAGAGTCAAAATTGGGGTGGGATTACAAATATCTGCTATTCTACCAATCATTTTATCAAGGAGATTTAGCTCTAAGACTCAGCTTTGATGGTTAGGTTTGTATTTCTTAAAACACAAGGACTTTCTCTCACAAAAGTACAGAGTAATAAAAATTCATTGTGGCTTCATATTCCATATTGCAACTAACTTTTAAGAAACTGCCACTTGTCAAGTTTTGGTATAGTACGAGATAATATCAACAAATATCTGAAAAGGGTATTAAAATACTCTCTCCTTTTAACCAGATTATGCATGTGGCAAGATTTGTTTTCATACCTATTTCAACCAAAACAACATGGTAATATTGTCTGCAGAAGCAGACAAAATAATCCAGCTGCCTTTTTTTAAGCCAAACATTAAAGAAATTGTAATTTAAGACGATACCATTCTACTATTTTTGTTTTAGAAATTTTAGCCATTTTTCATAAATTTATGTGTAAATTTAATGGACATATTGTTATTTTTAGTAAATCAAACGCTTTTAAATGTCTTAGTATCTAATGTGGCACATGTTGATATAACTAATGTACATAAACAAAAATTCTTAGATCTTAATAGTTTTTGAGAGTATATAAGGATCCTGAGACCAGAAACTATGAGAACTGCTAATCTATAGATAGATCTTATATAGTTTCATCAGTTATTTCAGCAATTATTTGAATATTTCCATCCATTTATTCAATAATTCCATCAGTTATGTCACTTAAAACAAAATCTTAGCTCATCCTTCATATTTCATTGCCGTATTTCTTCAGTCTACTTTAATCCAGAATAGTTTCTTAGTCTTCTTTTATCTTTCAGGATGTTGACATTTTTAAATACAGGCTAGTTTTTTTGGTCCTCTGATTCGATTTGTCTAATGTGTGCTGATGGTTAGATTCAGATCATGCACTTTTGACAGGAAGTGATATTGGGTCCTTCTCAGTGCCCCAACAGGCACAGATACTGTTTATCCTATGACAGTCATGTTAACTTCCATCACCTGGTTATGGTGGTGTCCAGTAAGTAGCTCCTCTGTAAAGTTACTATTTTTCCATTTGTAATTAATAATTATCTCATGAACAGTGACTCTGACTGTAAATATCCTGTTTTTCATAGAACTTCACTATGGTTTTAGAGCCAATTTCTAAGCAGAAGTCCCTGGAGCCCCTCCTGCTCTATCAAATATTCTTTTGCCTTGTTTTATGGCTGCAACTAGGAACCTTAAGGATGAGTGATTTTATAAGTGGTATTTCTTAAAAACCTACTTGCGTATTTTTTAGTAAATTACCTCAAGTCGAAAAAGATGTCAGAATGTGGAAAATGATTATAGGTGGGAGAAAATAGTAAACCTTATATACACCATGATTTCAACTGGATTTAAAGAACAAAAACAAAACAAGTAGGAGCATACTTGCTTTATTGCGCTTCCCTTTATTGCGTGTCACAGATACTGCATTTTTTATAAATCGAAGGCAGAAAAATAATACACCAGAAAAAAAATAGTACAACTTGCTTTATTGTAGTGGCCTGGAACTGAACCTGCAATGCCTTGTGCCTATATAGAAGCAAAGGACCTGAGGAAATATGCCAAATGCTAATAGCATTTCTTAGGCTGGTGGGATTGTGTGATTTTTACTTTTTAGTTATAATAATAACATGTTCATAGCAAAAGTTCTGGAAAAGTGTGTTTAAATTTCTGATATAACTTCTATACAGGAGGCATACGATTTCTGCCTACTTGAAGCACAGGAGCGAAGATCGTAGTGATGCTACAATTCTTTGTGCTCCCTCTGTGCCATTTCTCCCACTGCCTTGGCAGAGCCTAGCACATAAATATGCTCCGTGTTAACTTTCAGACATTTCTTAATTGGAAGAATTTTTTTGAACTCTTTCATTAGTACTATATCTTTGGATTCAGGTAATGAAGACTCAAAGGTACCTTTAGAAAGGAAGAAGTCTCTCTACACAGATGGGTTTTCCAAATCTGGAAAAAATAAAAGAACTGCAAGCACTACTCCAAGTAAGTTTTGCATTCAAAGTGACATAAAATAATGGTTGTCCACCTTAGGTAGATGTTGGAGAGAGAGTGTACTGTCTGACTTATTTCACTAAAAGCTGGAATGCTGGAATATGGGCTGGCATCCTCGTTCTCTCATTTCCTAGCTCTGAGTGGGCAATTTATCCTCAGTAAACCACTTCCTCGGTTGAAAGTGGGAATGGTTGTACTGCCTGTTTCATCAGGTTGTTACATTGATTAATTGAGGCTAGTTTTCCACTTCTAATTACCTAGCACAGTAACTAGCATATAGCAAGTATTCAATAAATATCTGAACAATGCAACATATATACGATGTATTGAATTGTACACTCGAAACCTATGTAATTTTAGGACACCTCAATAAATTTAATTCTAAAAATAGAAATAAATATAATAAAAATAAATATCTGAGATTGAATGTCTGTAAAGTACTTGGCACAATGTCCACCTTGTAATAAATTTTTTAAAGTCAAGGGACGGCCTTGAACGTGCCTTGAACGTGCCACCCTGAACGTGCCTGATCGCATCGGATCTTGGAAACTAAGTAAGGTCGGGCCTGGTTAGTACTTGGATAGGAGACCACCTAGGAAAACCAGGCTGTAGGCATTTAAATAAGTTAAATAAATAAAGTCAAGGGGACTCCATTTCTGGACATGTAATTCTTCCCTATTGCTTGGCACATAGAATGTTGATTGAGAGTACTATATTTATAGTACTTAGAATGCTGCTCAGCATATATTAGAAGTTCATCTATTTAATTATACTTAATTAGAATAGCAAAGAGCAGGGGTCGGCAAATTGCTGCCTGCCTTGGCCTGTCTTATAGCTCATGAGGTAAGAATGGTTTTTACAGTTTTAAAAGATTGTATAAAAAAAGTATGAGACAGAAACCACTAAACCTAAAATATTTAATATCTTCTTTACAGAAAAAAAATTTGCCAATGCTTAGCACAGAGCTTTCTAAGCATTTTAAAACATCAAATTTATGATTAAGGCCATTTGATTAATTGGTGAGAGGAAAAGACAAATCTGTTATTTTCTTATCCTCCGGACTAAACCAACATGTCAATTAACAGTGAAATGGACAGTCGAGAGATGACACATGTTTAATCATTTGGGGGGGGGACCTTAAATATTATTGTTTAATTTTTCAATTACAGTTGTCTTTCAATATTATATTAGTTGCAGGTGTACAACATAGTGGTTAGACATTTATATGACTTACAAAGCAATCCACTCCCCCAATAAGTCTAGAACCCACCTGGCATATATCGTTATTACAATACTATTGACTGTATTTCATATACTGTACTTTACATCCCCATGATAATTGTGTAACTGCCAACTTGAACTACTTATTCCCTTCACCTTTTTCACCCAGGCTCCCAACCCTCTTCCCATCTGAAAGCCATCAGTTCTCTATCTATGAGTTTGGTTTTGTTTTGTTTTTTAATTTTGTATTTTAGATTCCACATATAAGTGAAAATATATGGTATTTCTCTGACTTATTTCACTTAGCATAATAGCCTCTAGGTCCATCCATGTTGTCACAAGATAGTTTTTAAGATAAATATGTTTTGCCCTTGAGTTTCAAAAAACTAAATGTTTTGAAATTAAAGTTTTGACAAAGATGATGTTGAAATTAATGTTAGAGATGCAGAGAAGAGAATAAGTGTTAACAGGAAAACAAAGGGAAGGCGAATAAATGAACTTCGTCTTGGTATTAATTTTCATATTTTGTGGAACATTCTAGACTTTAAGAAGCTTCATGAGGCTCGTTTTAAGGAAATGGAGTCCATTGATCAATATATTGAGAGAAAAAAGAAACATTTTGAACAACACAATTTACTTAATGAAAAGGTAATTATGTTCTTAATGGGAATAAACTATTTGATTTTAATGTTGATACGATATATACACCATGATTAGTACAGCCAGTTTCCTATTGTTCCATTAGTGGAATGGACTTGTTTGAGTTTAATGTATTTTTATTATCTTAAATTGCTTTCCCCCCAACATGAGAATTTTCGGAACTCTTCAGACAAAGTAGTGAGTTCTCACTATACAGAACAAATTCCAAAATAGCAATTAGTTGTTTGGTCTTCCACATTCGTACATTGTGCATATCACTTTTGTTGAGGATGGACTGATATTTCACTGAAGCCATCTTTTTTCTCTATCTCTCACCTAAAGCAAAAAAGGACTAGCAGTGGCTAACTTAAAGGTTTCCAGTGATAACTGGAGCTCCCTGGGAGGCCTTCAGCTCAGGTCCTGCTGGATTCAGGGCCCCATCAAATAAGAAAAGATGATGAGTTAGAAGAGTACTGAGTTGTTGTTATAGTCCTATGTGGTATCTGGTGTTAAAAAGGGAAGCATGTAGAGGGCTGGGATACATTTATTTTAGAGTGTAATAATATATAACAACCAGCCCATTTCTCAAAAAGAGAATGAAGCAATTTGTAGTATTACACATAACACAAAACAGTTGAGTTTTGAGTTTTCTGATACTAATGCAGTGGGTGGTAAGTTCTAAATAATTTTTAAAAAAACAAGCTTGTTAGTGAGAAACAATCTTGGGTAATAAACATGCATTTGAACAGTACTTATAAAACCACTGTAACCACAATTAAAGACACTATTTAACAACCTTCTAGCAAACAGCGACAATGCCAAGTCATGGCATTAAACATCTCCATTTCTTCATACTGATCTAACAACATTAGTAAGAATCCAGAGAGAAGAAATTAATATGTCTATAGTAAGACTTTCCTAAATATTAGCAAGGGCTAGGTATCACTACATTTATAGCCGAATACTAGAACAAGAGGCCCATGCTGACACTTGACAGAAAGTAGCTCCTTAGCTTCTTTTTCTGCATAGGCATGAGCTAGCTGCAAATACGCCTGGAAACAGGGTCACTCATTTTCCTTACCTGAGTCTACTTAAGTACTTGATGGAAAGTCAAGCTTTCTATACGATATAATATGGATGAGTTAATTTTTCAGGTAAAAATTAAAGGCAGAAAAACTGCCTCAACCATAAACTTGAGTGTAGCCTTGTAGATGTATTGAATAAATGAGTGGCTTATCTTATTTTTTAGTGATAGCCCCATCTGAACGAGTTTAGTTCTAAAATCCCACACCACCCTCATTATTTAAGGAATTGACCTATCAGGTGGGTTATTTAGTATGACCTATTTGGAGACTGGAGAGTAAAAACAATTAGTGACTTTGCCATAGTTGATATGAAGTTTTTCTTGATCGTTGACTTGCTTTAGGGTTAGTCATTTGGATAGTGATGGATAGTAATAAATGAGCGAAAGTCCAAGAGAGAATCATCCTGGCCATGACCAATCTCCCCCTGACTTTCATGATCAGAGGAGGGAGACCTGTTTGATTTGATTGTCAGATGGCCCTCTACAAAGATCAGAAAACTTGTACCCCAGAGATGCCTGTTTACTTTGTTAACAGTGAGAATGATCAGATTTTTAAATCTTCAATAATATGAAAAAAATCCCAATTGAGTTGGCATTTCTTTGATCATTCTGTTACATGCCATTTATGTTATATCTTTATATATTGGAATTGGTTGTTTTTCTGTAAATTTGCTTTTTCTGTAAATTTGCTTTTTCTTAATATCTGCACATTTATGAACATTAATCTATATTAATGATATGTAATATATGTTATAAATATTTTCCTGGTTTATCTTTAAACTATATTAATAGTGTCTTTTACCTTGTAGAAGGTATTTTTGTTTTATTTTTAGTTAAATCTATCCAACTTTTCCTTTTAGGGCCCAGAGTTCTTTTTGTCATGCACTGCCTGTCCTGAGATCATTTAAAAAAAATGCTCTTATAAATGTACTGCTTCTTATTACTTTTCCCTATCTTTAATTCATATTTTTATTTTTGTCTATGATATTATTGAGCTCTTTGCATTGTTAGAACAAGATTTTTATTGATAAAAGAAAGGGAGGAATTGATTAGCTACATTGCTAACAAAATGAATTGGTACTAGTAGAGTCAGCAGCATAATACTGTATATGAAAAAAAGTCAAAAAGATTGGTACTTAGTGCAAGTAGAATCATTTATACATTATAAGGTACTCAAGCAAAGATGCAGAGTTGAGGGTCCTGGCACCAAGTGTGAACTGTGAGGAGATACTAGAAAGGAGAATTTTAGAAGAAAGATAGAAGGCAGCATAAAAGATGTAATTAAATATAATAGTATAACTAATTCATCTAGCCTGGGTTCTCAGCTTATGGTAAAGATGTGTATTTACTAAATATTTTAGTTTTAAATTTGTCTCACATTAGAATCTCTTGTATGTCAAAAAGAGAAGTTAACATAATTTTCTAGTTTGTATTTCATAGGATATAATCAGAACTTTTTATTTTCTGGCTTTATATTATCAGTTATAGTAGTCCTACCTCTATTGTCAGTTAATGAAGTTATATTTCTTCTGCTTGGAACAAATCTTAGACTAATGATAGTAAAACATTCAGTTAGTATTTGTGCCTTGACAGTATCTAAAAAAAGAAAACCTAAGTGGAACTCTTCCCAGCCATTTCTAAGACAGCATTTCCTTCCTTCCCTTCTTTAGTTTTTGTTTTTGTTTTTTTTAAAGAACTTCTAAAAGCTATGGGGGGTAGGGGTGAGTAGAGGGCCATTTGGCAATCAAATTATTTGTAGATTCCACATGCTAATTATATAATAGGTTCTTTGAGTTTGTAGTTAATAAGCTGCATATCATGCTCTCAGAGGTATCATATGTTCAAGAGAACCTGTTTATTCTCCCTTTCTGGCCACAGGGGACTGTTTAAGCCACATTCTCTCTCTAGAAAGTACCTGGGTACTTGGGAGCTGGGAAAGGCTTTCTGTAACAGGTTCCTCAACACAACCAGAGTCACCATAGCAACACCCAGCCTGCCTGGCAGGTGGGATAGGATGAGGTAGTGGGGATGAAACAAGGGCATCAATGGAGACAATACTAAGAGGTCAAGCTTTAACGGTGCATTTCCCTTTCTTCAGAAGCAGCTTGTCACTAAGGGAGTGGTGGCAACTCCAGTTTGTCTCCAAGAAAGATTCTCTGTGGCTTGTACTCCTACAAGCCAGCGGCACCCAAAAGCCCAGGGCGCTGCAGGTCGGAACACCTCATGTGTGAAGGGGTCAGTTAAGCGCTCCACTCTCTCAGCAACTAAAATGAACGTCAGGTAAAGAAGAGCTCCAAAATGTGTTTGAGGTCAAGGTCTCAAAGCTTTACTGCTTCTAATACTTTTCAGGTGGACTGCATCAAATAAGTTTTACGTTGATGAACAAGAACAAGGATCGGAACATAGAGAAAGATCACCAAATGATTATTATAAGTTCTAATCTTTTTCTTCAAATTTGTTTTTCTTGTTTTATCCAACTTCTCTAAGCTCACATTTGATTCATAAGTAAAGATAGAAAATAAGATATATATGGATATTTTTCATTTTATTAGTTTAATGTATGCCTGTGTAAAGAGACATTTTTCCATTGACTTAAATAAAAAGGTGAAGCTAAATTCCTACAGAAAATATCTCAGTGCAGTGAAATAAAAAATGGTCTCATCCTAAAGTATAAATAGTATTAGCCAGTGGGTATTGCAGTGTCATAACTCTCATGCCCCATTGATTCCTCTGTTTTCTTTGCTTGTACTTTTCCTGACAGCAATTATGGCTGTCCCCAAATTTTTATTCTTTTTTAAGGGCATTTAGACCACTATGGTCAGAGACTAGCCCTTCTTTTATTGCAAGGTACAAAATAGCGTCCATCTTAGCATATCCAATTTTCTTAACTCTGTTGTAGAGTCTTTAGTAATAATTTTGGGTGTCGATTCAGGATCACCATCAAATCTTTTGTTACAAGGCCGTTAAGTCCCCTTCTGTTAATCCCCCACCACCAACCCTATGTATATTTATATCTGTCATTACTAGATTTTCATTGACTATAAGACACCATCAAGTGAAGGCTCGCCATTATTTTATGAACCAGTAAGAAAAGTCACTGCCAACTAACCATAATGTGTTATCAATTGTAAAACATCTCAATTTCAGAGATGTTAAAATGTAGGAAAAACTATGCACCAGAGAATCAATGAAATACATTTATAGCAGTTTGCTATGAGTAGAGAATGGCCTTGTGTACCACTGAAATGAATGACATTCTTGTAGGAAGATGTAAGATTTTCTTCTCATCACTCATTTGGCATAGCAGTCTCTTGTTCCTTCTGACTTGCCATCACCAGGAAGAGGAGAATTAAGGGGAGCGTCTTCAAGTACCTCCTCAATTGTAAGGATGCCTGCAGGTATCACTTTCAAGCTCTGTCTTGTATTGTCATTGGCCAAGACCAGGAGAGAAGAGAATACAATGCCATATTTTACAAATAACAAAAGTTAATAAATGATTTGCTTGAGCATCAATGTTTTAAGAATATGTCTATTCTGCAAAGGATGTTTATTTATGTAACACTATTGAAGCCCTTTCACTGATGGGTGATGGAAAAGTGGTTTTGTTTATAAGCTTGACACAAATTACTCTTGACACTACTCATGTCTTATACACCACTGTCCCATTTAGGTTTTCCGCTACTACTAAAGATAATGAGCATAAGCGTTCGCTGACCAAGACTCCAGCCAGAAAGTCTCCACATGTGACCGTAGCTGGAAGTACCCCAAAAGGCCAGGCTGTGCTTGGGACTCAAAAATTAAAGACCACAAAAGGGGATTCTGTTGCAGGTAAGAAAACTTTGGTTCATCTTTAAGCATGTAACTTCCTGAAATTATTAAGTATATCTGTTTCCTTAAAGCCTCTCCATATCTGTAAAATCAAAAGCAAGCATATCCTCATAGCATATTTTTCATTTTATACTGATGAGGGAAATGCAGAAACCCAAAGAAAAAGCTGATATCTGCTGAGGACTCCATCCTGTCCAAGAGGAGTCCCAAGATGGTGACCCTCCCTGAAGAGCATTTGGCCCCTTCTCAGACTCAGAGATTAGGAAGATCAGTGTTCATTACAGCCTCTGAATGGTCCTGCAGGACTCTGAAACTAGCAGGATCAGAGTTCACGGAATAAATGCCACACTATTGACTGGGTGAGCCAGAATAAGCAATAAGGATACTCTTGTACACACTGTCCACTTAATCAACATCTACAATGACCAGGTGATTTTCAAAAGAATACTATAATATCAGTATGAAGGTTTAAAACAATATCACAAACAGGTCGAGGCCTGTATTAGAGCTATGTCAATATTCTCCTGGGAGTCCCATTGAATATGTCAGTCAAGAGCCTTGATTGCCAGATTCTCTGAGACTGGAGGAATCTAGCAGGACTTTCAGACTAGAGCATCATTGGTAATCAGTGTGGAGACTCTGAGGATTTCTTCATGCCTTTAAAGATCTAAAGTAAAGATTGAATAGTGAAAGTGACAACTAAATTTCAAGAGTCCAGAAGTGAGAATAATAAATATACATAATTCCTCCTCTAAATGACCTCTTTCATTCCCACCCTAACCCTTAATCTTATCTATACCAGCAAGAAAACATTCCATAGAATATTCTAAATCATCCTGTAAAATGGGAAGAAAGGGGCTTGGATAGAAGACTGCACTAAAAAATAGAGAGTAGAATTGCCTAGGGTATGACACTGTCATTTTATAAAGAGCATTATGTTCTCTGAGCTCACTGAGCAGTAGCCACCTACCTTAAAATGAGCAAGGACTCACATATGCTCACAAATAAGGACATGAGGCAGAAACTAAATATTTACCATATTCTGAGCTTTCTCCTCTAAGTAATTCAAGGATGTGCCAGTTGGGATTGGACTTTTTCCCCCAGTTATCAAATATGAATTTTATGTAAACAAAATCAAACTATATGACTTTTTCCCTGTGATTTCCTTCATTCATTTAGTATAATGTTTCAGGAATCATCCGTATCAATAAGTGAGCTAAAGTTTATTCATTTTCACTTTTTCAATGGTACCATTATTTACAATTTATCCATTTTACTGCTCAGGGACATGTGGATTTTTCCAGCTTTTATTATTCTACATGGTAGTATAACTGGATCGTTCTTGAACATGTCTCTTGTACATGTGCAAGAGTTTCTCTAGACCTAGGAGTGGGGCTGCTGGTTAGAAGGGTATGCAGATGCAGACATTTATTTACTGCAGTGGTTGAGCCGTACCAGTTTACACTCTCATCAGCAGTGTGAGATCGCCTCATTGTTCCCTTCTTCCTACCACTAAATATCGACACACTGGGGTAGTTTAAGCACAGGGGTTTGTGATTTTCTGTTTTAACTAGGTGGTCCTAGATCCTGATTGCTCATTCACATCTACAGGCAAGTGCTGACATTTGACAATGGCCTGAATGCAACCTGTAGCGGAAAAGATTATAAAATGTATCTCAGATACATGGTGCCCAACCACAGCAAAAATTTGGCTTACTAAATTATACTCTCCTGGTATATTTTTAACTTTTATGGTACAAAATTTCACATTCTTAAATAATAGCTTTTATTAATAAAAACCAGAACCATGAATCTTTTCATCTATATGTGATTAGGTTCCTTGAAGGCTTATATGTGTGTTAATAAAAATGTTACTATTAATAATATGTAATTTTTAAGAAGGATAAATAGTATCAGGGAAACAGCCTGAAAAATTACCCAGTTGATTCTTTAAACAGGATTCTAAACTCCCTGCTGATCCTAAGAAGTGTCATAATGTTTAGACTATTGGGTTGCTGCTAACGGGGGAAACAAATGTCAGTGCTTAGCATTCCTTGGTTATTCTTTTCTGCCCCTTTTTAACGTTACACCTGTGTCAGACTGTTCTATAAATTATGTTTTTAAGATTGAGTAGCAATACTTAAATAAAAAATTATAACAAGTCTTTTTTTTCTAATTAAGCCCTTGGGTTTTGTGTGTTGGCTTTTTTTTTAGTTATCACCCCACTCAGGTTGACAGCTGATGCAACACAGACTCCGGTCTCCCATAGGAAACCAGTGTTTGATCTCAAAGCAAGTTTGTCTCGTCCCCTCAACTATGAACCACACAAAGGTATGTGAGGATGTTTGACGTACAAGACGTGTTAAGACTAAAGATTAACCAATTCTGCAACTGAGAATGTGAAAAATTCTAGTGACTCAGTGGAAGCCTTACTTGACCACCTAGAATACCTACCCGCATCTCTGTGTCCACATGACCCATGATTAAAAAGAATGTCCATTAAATACTAAATAATTGATTCACTTCAAAACCAAGAAACTCAGAAGTTCAGAAGAAAACATATATGAATGTTTTCTTTACAGCTTTCAAAGGATCCTAGGCTGGCTGGGAACCACCAGTCTAATAACCTGGGACATTTATTGCCTAGATGTCAGTCTTGGGCATATATTAAAATATCCTTACATCTATTTAAAATATCTATACTTACTGTGATATTTCAGTGTTTTTGGAATTACTTTAAAAAAAGAAAACTTCCTACAGTAATCATGTTTACGTAACAGTGTTTTTCTTTAAATTACTAATGTCAATGAAACAAGAATAATGAAAACATAAATCTTATTTAGCAGTTAGTCAACTGAACTGTGGTAAAAAGAAAAAATCTACTTTTCTCACACACCCATTTTCCCCCCCAAGTGTTCCCATCTGTGGCAATGGCACCTCTACCTACTGAGTTGTCAGGGCAGAAACCTAGGAGCCCTCTTTGGCTCCTCACTCTCTCTCTCAGACCTCATATCCAGGCCTTGAGCCAAGTCCTTTCTCCTCTACCTTTGAAATGGAGCTTTAATCTGACCACTTTACCCTTTCTTTATTTCAACTCTTTTCGATCCAGGTCATCATCATCTCTTACCTGGGCTTCTAGAACAGCCTGTTTGCCCTACTATGACCTTGAAAACAAACCAGAGTACATCACTGCCTTGCTCAGAACCTCATAAGGTTTCTCATCTCTCTCTCAACCTCAATCATTGCCTCCTCCCTTCCCTGACTTTGTGCCAACCACACTAGTGTTTCAGCTCCTCAGACACACTGAGTTCATTCCCACCTCCCGGTCTTTGAACTTGTTATCCCTCTCTTCTACCTGGAATACTATTCTCACAGACCTTTGCATAGCTTGCTCCCCCATTTAAATGGGGCATCCACTCAGCTGTCACCAACTCAGGCCTTTCCTCTCCTCCCTGCCTCCCACACTCTTTATTCCTTAGCCTGTTTTACATTTCTTCTTAGCACGTGGCACCACCTGATGTTATGTTACTTGACTATCTACCTCTACATTTGAAATGTAAGCCCAAGGGAGCAAGGATCTTTGACTGCTCAGTTCACTGCTATGTCCCCAGTACTTACAACAGTCCCCAGCAGTATACCAGGTGCTCAAAAAGTATTTGCTGTGGAAATGACTGTGACTACCACTAACTTCGACTGACAGTAGAAAACCTGGATGTAAAGCTTCATCTGTGCTGATTATTTTCATATCCTAGACAAATCATTTAGTTCCTTTATGGAAGGGAAAATAAGTAAATACTATAGCAGTTATTGATTAAATGATACAATGGGTGTGGAAGTAATTTTTATAAAATTGGAAACACCACAAATGATAATCATTGGTACTCAGAAATAGATCATAATGTATACAAATAAAGCAACATATAAACATCTGGAAATTTGGTTCCAATTCTAAAGCTAACAAAGTATTCCCATTCATTCCATTCCAAATACATTTTAACAAGTAATAATAACAACAAACTACAAGTGAAATACTACTTTTGTAATTAATAAACATAATACCTATGAGATATCAACTACTTGGTTATGATGGCTTTTTTTAATGTGCTATGTGCTTTTAATGGGAGTTTGTTTTTTAGTATTAAGATTTTTTTCCATGACTTTCCAAGGATTAAAAAGTAGAACACACACAAAAAAAGTAGAATACATTTTTTTAGAGAAAAAATGCAATTTATATCTGTGAAATATGAAATTAAAATTAATAGGAGACTTATACTGGCAAATGTCTATAAAACAAAGTATAATGCAAACAAGTAGCCACAGATTGATAAAATTGAGAATATTAATACAAGAATTTTCATAAATCTGTCTTTGTCTCTGTCCTAAACTAGGAAAACTAAAACCATGGGGACAATCTAAAGAAAATAAATCTCTGAATGAGCATGTAAACAGAGTTAGCTTCCATAAGAAAATGTACAAACAACCTCGTCTCCAGGCCAGGTGAGTACATTATTATCCAGTTCTATAATTCTGTTAATTTTGAAAGACCATATAAAAGTAGAACCTCTGAGGGAATCCCAGTAAATGGTGTTTAAGGGGCTGGAAGTAGAAATGTAGCTTTCTAAAGGCAGTGTGCCTGGGCCCCAGCACAATGGGTTCTAATTCAGTAGGTTTGAGGTGGGGCCCAAGCATCTGCATTGTTTTCAGAGCTCTACAGGTGATTCAGAGGAAGACTCAGATTCAGAGGGCTGCTCTTACATGACCTATCTCCCAAATAGTGTACCTGAATATCCCTCAAGACACCAACTGAAGTGCCCATGGAACCTAGGCATGCAGATAGATGTAAATTCCTTACTCTCAGGGAAACTAAGCTTACTAGGCTTCAGGGCCCTACCAGAGGAAAACCCCCAGGTTGCCCTTAGAGGCTTTCTTCTGCATGAAAACTAAGTTAAAGCTGGAGCTCACTCTGGGCTGCAGCTGGTCCTGGTTGGTGATTCCCTGCAAGAAACTCCTGATATGTGGTTACCTGTCATTTGACTTGCCTATATCCAGCTGCTACCAAGACCTTTACTAACTATATTTGCTATTAAGATCATTAACATGATCCTGGGCTTTTTATTTTTCTCTAATCCTTTTCAGAAAAACAGTAGCTTAAGTCAGTAGACCCTGGCTCCAACATTTTAATTAGGCTATATAATTTTGAGCTTGAACTTTGACTTCCAGAGGTAAAAATTTCTCATTTAAAATAAATAAAAACTATAGGGGTTGAATTCAGTCACCAATGTACCTTCTGGTTCCAGTTCTTTGCTCGACTTTAGAATGTTGCATTAAGATAAAAAGGAAAATACCAATTTCTAGCCCTTTAACACAATGACTTACAGATGTGGCTTCCATCACACACAGACCACCAGATAGAGTGCAGTGTCCTATAAGTGTCCTCCAAATATGCTGGATGTCATTTTAAGTTTGGACATTAGTCTAACAATAAGCGCTTTAAAGTGGTCTGTTGTGGAGCTTCACTAGAACCTAATGTGTACCTGTCTCGCTTAGGGAGGAGCAGCGGAAGAAACATGTGCAAGAACGAAAGGAGAAGAAAGCAAAGGTTTTGGAAGCTCGAAGAGGCCTCATTATGGCTGCAGATTAATAGTTTTTTTTAACATCCTGTAAATATTTCTTTATTCTGAACCTTTTTTGTAAATATTTTTATACTGTCCTCCCTACTTTAGTAAAGTTTTTTCTGTTAACTTTGTTCATAATATGTAGTGTTGGTGGGTTCTTCATATGTTACAGTCTCTGAAAAGATGTTATTACCTTAAAGCTCACAAATTCTTCAAAATAGTTTTAACCTAAGTCCCTGTACAACCCAGTTTTCTAATGAGACCCATCCTATAGATTCTTGACCTAGATTTTTAATGTCAATTCCCTCTGCTGGTTCTAATATTAACAGAACTCCAGTCTTCTAAGCAAAAGCAATTACCTATCAGTAGCTAGTTATACCACAGGCTTTAGTAGAAATTGAACAATAACAAGTTATAAACAGGGTAAGCTGGGAAAAGCCACTTGATGCTCTAGAGAATCTAGTAGTCTTAATGAAACTGTGGGCCATATGGGTGGGTTATGGCAACAATATTTTACCTATGTGAAGTGTTTTAAGCTTATATGCACCTTTGTTCATATGAATTCATGCAGTTGCCATCTGTCACTCAATATATTCTTAAAAACAAACTATAGCTAATTCTAGCCTTGCTTATTTAAAAATATACAGGGCCATATTGAAGTTTGAGGATTGCTGTAAGGATTACTATGCTGTGTCAAACTTAAATCTTATACAATTTATGGAAAAGACTAGAGTTGCTTAGCATCATATCCATGTTTGTTGCACCAAAATGGACCTTCTGAGTTTTGTACTGCTTAAGGTTTTCATAAATAAAATTTTTTCTCACAGTGGTAGATTTATTCTTTGTAAACATAATTGGCTTCCAAGATTTAGTTGATCAGCTAAGATTAGCAAGAGCTTATACTCTTCATGCATCTTTTCTTGCCCACCCACTCCTACCCCAAGAAGAAACGACCAAGTCCTTCTCTTGTACTTTCATAACACCTATCAGATTGTTATAATAATTGTTATACATATATGAATCTGCAGAACATACTCCTGGGTGCTTAATAAATTCAGGTTTTGCTATCAAGAAAGAGACCAAATCAATCAAGAAACCTCAAATACACTGCTGCTGGGAAGGTAAAATGATACAACTACTTTGAAAAAATTTAGTAGTTTCTTTAAAAAGTTAAATGTATGCCTACCATATGACTTAGCAGTTATACACCAAGGTATATATACTCAAGAGAAATGAAAATACATGTCCACACAAAACTTGTATGCAAATATTTGTAACAGTGTTATAGTAGCCAAAAAGTGGAGAAAAATCCAGCTGTCCATCAATGAATGAATGAATTAAAAAAGATTATGCACTAAAAAGTAATGAAGTACCGATAACATGCTACAACATGAATGAACCTCAAAGACATGCTAAGTGAAAACCCAGACACAAAGGTAATATATTGTATGATTCTATTTAAATGAAATATCTGAAGAAGATAAGTCTACAGAGGAAGTAGATCAGTAGTTACCTGGGGCTGGGGGTGGCAATGAGAAGTGACTGCAAAGGAGTATTAAGGTTTCTCTTTAGGCTGATAGAAATTTTCTAAAATTAACTTGTGGTAAAGACTGCACAATTCTGTAAATATACTAAAATTCATTGAATTGTAGACTTAAAACAGGCAAACTTTGTTATGTAAATTATACCTCAATAAAGCTATTAAAAATAAAAAGATAATTATATGAAAATATATAAAATAGATTTTAGGCCAAGATAATGGAAAAGCTATTTATATATAGCCTTTGTATATTCTTATTTTTAACTTGGCTTGCTTAGGGTACTCTGACTATATTATAGTTTCCTATCTCCTCTGAGATGACAAGAATTGATCAATTTAAACTGTTAATCAGATTTTATTTTTGGTAGATGCAATTGCTGTAATACTTAAAATGACTAGGGAAGCGTTAGGGACATTAGTCTAATACCTGATTTAGTTTCTCTAGTGGTTACAGTAAAAGTCACTATAAAGAACTGGTAAAGATTATGCATCTTTGGCAGACCAGCTCTCTAAGTAGGTGTTATGGACTATGTGTCCCCCAAAAATTCATATGTTGAACCCTTAATTCCCAGTGTGATGGTACTTGGAGGTGGGGCTTTTGGGAGGTAATTAGGTCATGAGGGTGGAGCCCTCATGATGGGATTAATGCCTTTGAAAGAAGAGAAAGAGAGCATGTGAGGATATAACAAGAAGGCAGCTATCTTCAAGCCAAGAAGCAGACACTCACCAGACCCCAGATATGCAGGTACTTTGATCTTGGACTTCCCAGCCCCAGAACTGATGAGAAGTATATGTTATTGAAGCGACCTAGCCTCTGGTAACTTCTTATAGCAGCCTAAAAAGACTAAATAGGTATGTCTCAGTGACTTCTACAGCATCTTAATATTCTTCAGCAGTCTCTTTTCCTCAAAGATGGATTAGAAAACAGAAGAAACCTATAAGGAATAGAGTGGTAGAAGGCCATCAACAGTCATTTTGGAGACTCCTTACTTTAGAAACCATCTAGTCACGTAGGAATTGTTTCTAAGAAGAATCAGTCTAAAAACAGTTATTTACATCATACCTGTGCATTAGTACTTGCATTCTTTAAATAAAGGTATAGCTTAGAAACTGGTTTCATGCTGTTTCCTCCTATATGGTCCCTTACTTAGCAGCAGCAGTTAGCTTTGTCTTAGGGAATACATACCAGCTCTTGATTGGATGCCATTAAAGAAATATTTTATTTTGCTTCTGTGTCATCATGCATACTACTCCCCTTGGTTTAGTATTACAAAATTACCACATGATCTCTATTTAAAAAGTCTTGGGTTAAGCACTGGAGAATTTTCGTAGGCAAATTCTTCTGTGTGGGCTGGATCAGTAAACACTCCAATAAAATCTATTTCCAGGAAGAATGGACCATCTACTTTATCAGCTAGGGTAAATCCGATAGAAGAGATCTAAATTTAAAAGAGAAATTAATCGAAATTGTATACATTAATGTACTAGAGTTTTAAAATTCCAAGGGTGATTACTATAGCTGGGTCTCTATACTATCAGCCTTTAGCAAGTATACCATAGTTCTCATGTACTGTAGCAAATTATAGAGGAAGTACAGAGCTGTTTTTCTTTCAACATTCTACTTATCTCTCTTTAATGCAGTACTACTTAAAACTAATCAGTCTAATGGAGGTTCCTTGAAGCTCTCTTGAAAACCTTAATACTTGTTTTCTTATTTTAAAGCTAAAATAAAATGTAGGCACGTTGAAAAGAAGACCATAAATTTCTCCCAGATGGGGGTTTGGCTCAAAGGATAGGTCTGAATCAACATCTGTCTAGGTATTACAGGGGTGGCCTTGAGTAGGAATTTTAAAATTTCATTTGCCAGCCTTCAAAAATAGACTGAACTTATAGGAGTTCTGTTTCACTAAAGATAATATAGTTCTGAGTGAAAGTAGAAGAAAATGTTACCTTGTCAAGGAGAAGCTGGTACTGAGCATCCCGGATTCTTCCTTGATTAGAAAAGAAAAATTTGGAGAAAGGAATCTGAGAAAAAAAAAAAAAACCATTTACTTCACAGCTGAAATGTAAGTTAACTAAGGTATCTGTATGTAAAAATAGTTTAAGTTTAATTCTAAAATTATTTAATATATGCAGTTATCACAAGTGGCTAGTATTTTGGATCACAGATATATAACAGCAAAAGATTAATCAACCCAATAGAAAAATGGGGGTGGAGAGAAACAGAAAAAGTAGAAGTACAAATCAGTACAGCTCTTTGAGAGGGCAGCTAGCTGGCAATTGTGATAGGCAGGATTCTAAGGTGGCCTCTAAGATTTCCACCTTCTAGTGTACACACACCTTACAGGTATTCGAACACTAATCTCAGTACTGCTCTGAAGGAACTGTGCAGAAGGCAGGCTTTAAATCAGTTGACCTTAAACAGGGAAGATTATCCTCTGTAGGCATGACTTAATCACTTGAACCCATAAGCGAGACTGGTTTATGGACTGGCCACATAAGAAGGATTCAGTGGGGTTGAGGGAGATTCTCCACTGTTGGTTTTGAGGATGGAGGGAGCTAAATGGCACGGAAGTGGGCAGCTTCTAAAAGCTGAGAGTAACTCCTAGCTGACAGTAAAGAAACAAGGACATCAGCCCTATAATCACAGGAACCAATACTAGAATGAGGTTGGAAGATTCTTCCCCAGAGCCTCCAGAAAGGAATACAGCCCAGCTGATGCCTTGATTTTGGCCTTATAAGGCCTGAGGCACTGAACCCAGCCATACTATGTCCCAACTCATGACCTACAGAACTGTGAACTAATAAATGCAAGTTTCTGAAGCTAAGTTCATGGTAAGTTTTTTAGGTAGCAACAGAAAACTAACAATATCTATCAAAATTTGAAATGTCATAACTTTGACCTACCAATTTCACTTTTAGGAATTTATATTTCAGATAAAGTCTGACAAATACAGCTTTTCCTAATAGCAAAAAAAAAAGAAGACCTCCACATTATTAGTCAAAAAGGATATAGACAAAATATACAGTATAATCACATTTTTAAAAAATATATAAAATTTTAAAACATCTCAAAAAAACTAATAAAATATTTACTATAGCAATTGGGAACAACCCAAGTGTCTATCAATCTAGGACTCATTCAATCAACTATGAGACATCCACATAACAAAGTACCAAACAAAATAAAGAATGAAGAATGACTCCATGTAGTGATATAGAAGCTCTCCAGGTTCTCAATTTTAAAAATATAAACAGGTGCAGAAGATAAAGTATTGCAATTTTATTTTTTAGTAAAAAAATGGAGAAAACAATATTAATCATATTAACTTATATTTGCATAAAGAAACTGCAAAGCTACATGGGAAACTTAATAAAAGTTGACTACTTACAGAGGATAGTCTGGAAAAGGGTGAATAGGGACATGAGAGTGAGAGTTCGTGTACATTTTTCTATTTTGATTTTTGAACCAAACAATAATGAATTTTTTAAATGTACTGTTCAGGTTATTTATCACCAAAAACACTTATTGACGTGAAAAAAAAAACCTCAGTTCAAAGCTCATAATAAATAAACCATCATAGCACAAGATCATATTGCTCACATAGCAAATCTAAATACAGTCACATCCTCATTTCACCTGCTTCCTTCATTCCTGTCAAATAGAAACAAAGCTCTACCCTGCAACCACCAATTTCTCATTTTGCATCCTTTTTTGGCACTATCTACCTCATTATTCCATACATTTTAGAAATACAATGAACACTACCTGCCATTCAAGAGGTATCGGTCACCCAACTGACTCATTCCTTCAAACTAATCTCTTGTGTTTTTGGCACATAATTCTTTTAAATCACTGTCCACACCATGGGAACTAGATTTTTTTTAGCCTGGAAAAAAAATGAAGCCAAGAAAGAACATTAATCTGTAAAACTGCTTAAAAAGGAAAGGATAAATAGTTGTTTTTCTCTCTACAAATGATGGAAAACTATATACATAATTTTCTTCTCTGTTTTCTCTTTGTAATCAGAGTAAATATTTGAGCATCTCACTTATGTTTACTAAGATATTCATGAAGAATTGAATAGCAATTAGTAACATTTAATTTTTTTAAATCCCTAACACTTTCCTTAATAATTTAAACAGAGCTGTTGCAAACAATTATTTCTAGCCAAAGATTAGGACTACACATATTTTAGGGAAAAAGTAATTGTTAATGATTACATGGTGGTGATATTGGAGAATAATTTAGCAATGTGCATCAAAGTCTTTAAAAATGTACATATCGTTTATTCTAGGAATTTTATTTCCAGGAATATATCCTAAGAAAATAATTAAGGATGTTTACCTCAGAGTTTAGTACAATAGTGAAAAACTCTGAAAACATCTAAATGTACAACAATAGAGGATGGATTAAGTAAATTGTGGTCTATTTATAAAATAAAATGCATTTATTAAAAATGATGTAGAAATATATTTCTACAGAAAGTTGTATATAAAATTCAGTTCAGTGAAAAATATATGTTATAAAACAGCACTGGCACAATACCATTTTTGTAAAAAAAAGTGTAAATATAAAAGTCTGAAGGTACATACTAAAATAAAAATAGTATTTTATCCCTGGGTAATGGTACTACAAGGTATTTTTTCCTTTTCTGCATATTCCAAATTTTCTAAAATTAAATACTTGTTTAATAAATTATTATATATATTACTTATATACAAGTATTACAAATATAATTTTTTGGTTATATAGCTATATTAGTGCACAAATATGTATCAAAAGCCTGTTAAATGCCAAGCACCGTTTTAGGTACAGGGAAAACAGATATGAACCATATAAAGTTCCTGCTCTCAGAATTTAGAGAATTCATGTTCCAGGGGAGCAGAGTAGAGAGTAACAATAAAATAGACAAGTTAATGAACAAAATAATTTTACATAGCGATGAGTTATTTGAAAAAAATTAAACAGAGTGACTAGGTTAGAGGCTGCAACTCTAGCTAAAGGGATCAGAAAAAGACTCTGTGAGGCAACTTTTGAGCTGAGAAGTGAATGACAGGAAAGAAGAAGCAGGTGAAGATATGGAGAAAGAGCGTATCAGGAGATACAACACAAAATACAAAGGGTCTGAGATGAAAGAAAGCTTGTTGAGTTTGACACACAGAAAAGGAGCCAGTGTGCAGGAGGGAGGAAGGAGTGGAGACTGAAGATGAAAATGGGGTCTGACAGTAGAGGCCCAGGGAAACATGTTAAGGAGTTTGGACTTTATTCTAATTATAAGGGGAAACCACTGAAGGATTTTAAGCATGTGAGTGATGTGATCTAAGCTATTCTTTAGAAAGCTCGTTCTGGCTGCTGTGTGGAGTGTGGATTTTAAGGGGGCAAGAGGACAAAGAGAAATCCATAAAGAAGCCATTGCAGTAATCCAAAGGCCTGGACTAGGGTGAGAGTGGAAGAGATGGCTAGCAATGTTAGATTCTGGGTGTATTTTGGAAGCAGAGGTAACAGGATTTGTTAATAGACTGAATACAGGGTGAGGAAGAAAGGAATCCAGGATGAGGCTTAGGTTTAAGTATGAGCAAAATGGAGACTTTCTTTTGAGTTTATGGATTAAAACCTCACTAGTCAGGAATGGACATTTCATTTTGCCCTCATTCCCTGAATTTCCACTTAATTCTCTTCCAGGTTAACATTTTTTACCTTCTCATAACTTCTCATTTACAAAATAAGACTGCCTTATACTACGAAAAAATAAAGAAAAATTTTGATGGTCGTAAAATATGAAGTATTTATTCCTTTTAAGGGAGGCTTTCTACTAAGATAGGGAGACTAGCTTAGTAGAGTTGTCTGGAAGAGGTGATATAGCAGAAACTTAAAAATGTCTACTTGGGCACAGAGCAGAGATATATCTGTGACTTAGCATGCACCTGGCCATATCCTTACCAAAAATATTTCTTGATTAGTAAACTAACATTTAATTAATGAAAGAAAAAGTCAAATTATGTAAATCTTGTCCCTAGGTTCTCTTCCTTCTTTCCCTTCCCACACCTTCCAAAGGGACTCAGGAAAAAAAAAAAACTACAATGTAACCATGATCTCAAAAGACCTCATTTCATACACAGTAAAGACTTGTGCTGTTACCTTGATCTCCTGCCAGTAGGGCCCCCCACGGGTGAACATGAAATAACTGTACATCTGATTCTTCCTCTGGATTATATCCGTGTCCTCACTGATATTCACCATCCAAGGCCGACCATCTCCTCGGACACGGAGATACAAAGTGTTGAACTGGGACCAATCATAAGACTTTTTTCTCTCAAAAGGGCCCTAAGGTACAGAAAAGAAAGTTAATTTCACCTCATTTTCCATTTTTAGCAAAATGTGAGTCATTATCTTTTGTAGCAACAAAAGGATCCACCACCTATTTTTCTGTCTTTTTCTGCTCTATCACCATAAGGAGACAGGTAAATCTGGTGATTCTTTTTTCAGTACGAAATATTGATCTAGTTATGTTTCTAAGGTAAGTTACATGTTCAAGACATGTTAGCCCAAGGCAGTGTTTACATGGGGTATGCACTCAAATGTGTTACTAAATGGAAAAGAATCACTGTACATACTTTCCTTTCCCTGGTCTGATGGAGCAATGGTTTCTGTGTGGGCAATTTAATGAAACTGCCTTCCCATAAATTAGAAAACTGAAAGAGCTCAAGTTTAAAATTGATGTTTTATAACAACAGCTACCATCCATTGAAAACTTACATTAAGTATTTTGCATGCATAATTTAAGTATTTTGCATGCATAAGTATTTTGCATTAAGTATTTTGCATGCATAATTCCCACGAAACTGCCAGACAATCCTTACAATAGCCCTATGAGGTAGCTAATACAATTGTTTCCATTTTATAGAAGAAACTGAGCAGCCAACTAATCAGTGATAAATCCAGTGCTGTTTAACTCCAAAATCTGTGTTCTTAACAACTATCCATATTCTCTCTTTTTGAAAGTGGAATTTAGTGTTAATTTCCAAAGTTGTTTATTTAATCTCAGAGATAATCTGATTTCAAGGATACCAGCGTACAGATATGAACTAGTATTTACTAGCTGTATAACTTTGGACAAGTTATTCAATCTCCCTAAGCCTCAGTTTCCTCATCTGTAATGTTGGGGTGATCATACCTTACCATATTGTTGTGATGAATAAAAGGGATAATGTATACAATTAGCACAAGGACTGGCAGAGTACACTTAATAATTGTTATCAGCATTTTTCATTACTCCACAGTATATCTAGCCATAGAATTACATTCTGCTGTGGACGGACCAAATCCATTTTGTGGATTTTTAGGGCCTGAAAAAATGTTTGTATGTATAGTTTGTTGCTTCCTAAAGAACATATACCTTTCTTTTTCCCCATTATCTGAAGACAGGGAGCCTAATAATACTCCTAACATTTGCCTTTCTCCTTAAAGTACAGTATCCAAGCCAACATCCAGGAGCTGTGGCCAAGGCCAGGCATGGGAGCCTGCCCAAGGCAACCCTGGAATAATACCTGGTCAGCAAATTCACAAAAAGCCATAGGCCAGTGGTGAGATAAAGGAACTGACTTAAGTAACTTTGGGAAATAGTGTTCTGATTGGAAACTGTAAGGCTAGAGACAAAAGAAACTTTACATAAACTCTGTATTCTAGTTGGTAAGGTTGTCTCTCATCATGTTATGGGTTAAAAATTCTGAAACTGCTTTACTTGCATACTGGGGTTGAATTAAGTAAATGGATGGTAAATGGTGGGAGACATATTTCTTGCTGTTACAGAGTGAAGTTAAAGATAAGCAAGAGGGGGAAGGCTAGACTGAACTACATGGTATTGAATTAGAGTCAGAGCATTAGTAAAAACTCATATTTAGCTTCATATACAGAAATAATTATAGACGTGTTTCCACAGGTTGGTATACATACATTTACTTCCTAGCTATGTCTACTGAGATGTCCTAGAAGTAGTGTCAACCCAGTAGCAGCAAGCATACTCGAATGCCCAGATCTTGGTTTCTAATACTATTCTCCAAAAAAAGGAAACCAGGGCTCCTTCCAGAACAGGCTAATTCTAGGGTTGGGACAGGATGAGCTGAGAACATCTTGTAGTGCCAAAAAGTGCTCAAAAAAACAAAAGGATAGGGGCATATCAAAAGAACAGGAGTCAACCTATAAGAGCTCCCAATGGCCAAAGCTGCAACAATTTGAGCAACAAAATAACACAGTATTGAATTATAACCCAAAGTGTGAGTCAATACTAAATGAATGAATAAATAAGTGTGGGAGAAGAAACAAATCTTCCTTTCTGAAGAATCCCAAATAATTTATGTAAATACTACACCTTCCAGGTGATAGAACTTAATCCCACACCCTACCTCATGTCTTGAAAGTAGGAAGCACTTAGTGACTTGCTTCCAAAGAACAGAGTATAGAAAGATATAAAGTAACTTAAAAATGGAGTAACCTGGCACACACTACCTTGACCAGGTGGTCAAGGTTAACATATCAATGATATTGCTAGCATGTGCCTGGATATGATGTGGTGAGAAGGGTACTTTAATTCTGTAGCATTCTTCCTAAACCCAGAACCCCAGTCTAACTTGGAGAAAAAAAAAAAAAAAACAGAAAATCCCAAATTGAGGGTCATTCTACAAAAAAATATCTGGCCAGTGTTTTTCAACTCCTCATGAAAAATAAGGAAAGACTAAGAAACTGTTATAGACCAGAAGAGACTAAGGAGACATGATAAGTAGATGTAATGTGGTACTCTGGATAAGGTCTTGGAACAGAAAAAGAATATTAGTGGAAAAACCAGTGAAATCCAAATAGAGTCTGAATTTAGTTAATAGTAATGGACTAATGTAGGTTTTTCAATCATAACAAAGGTACTATAGCAATGTAAGATGCTTAACAATTGGAGAAGCTAAGTGAAGGGTACACAGGAACTCTCTGTACTATTTTGCAATTTTTCTGTAAAACTAAAACTATTCTAAAATTAAAAGTTTACTTTAAAAAAATGCTACAGGCTGATCCTACATCCACACTAAGGAACATTACAGGGTCTGTGGCCTACATTAGAGGAGATGCAAGTCTCCCCAGATCATCATTCAAATATCTAACCTATCCGGGCTCCTCAAATAAGAATGTCCTACTCTGGTCCAAAGTGATGCTCAGAAACAAGTAGTCCCTCCTCCAGAACCAATTCCCCCTAGTGCTTCAGCTTCACACTTGTGCCCAGTAGTTATTTAACCCTATACGTAGATGAGATACCAGGTGTTTTTATTTACAGAAACAAACGCTCTCTGCTGTAATTCATGCTACAATGAAGTTCACCCCAGTTCACTGGAAAACTGAGGCTCCCAAGCCTCACTTACCCTTCGAATCCTAGATATCATTGCACAGTACCCACTGCGACCACTCTCTCCATCATGAGGCGCCTCAGAGCTCAGAGTTCCATACAGCAGTGCACTTTGGTTATTCTTGCCCATTTTCAGGAACACTTCACTTCTTCCTCCAATTGTTTTATCCGATGTCACTATCCACTTATCCAAATCTTCTTTCCCACGAAACTGCCAGACAACCTTGGCTTGTTCTAGCAAGACCTCATGCAGGGGGCGGCCTTCAGGCCCTATCCAATGATTCACAATATCATCCTTCAAACGCCTAAAATGTTCCTTTATTTCATCTTTAATTGCTTTATCAAAACTAACTTCAGGCTTCTCCTCAGGAGAAGTTATATCCAAAGCAACTTCACTCTGGTGATGTCCTTGCAAACCCCCTGCAGTGTTCCTCTGAGAGGAAGCTGTGCCGGGACTAGCCACTGGTTTCTGAAGACTACTGGAACAAAAGTCTGCAAAGCGAGTATTCAAAAATGGACAGGAGGCAACCCTTGGCTTCAGGCATTTTCTGAGAATATAAGTGCTATTCAACAATTTGTGAACTAAAGCCATGGTAAGAAAAAGTCAAAATGCAAATTTCTCCCTGGGTTACCAGGGAAAGAAGCTTCAGCAAATGGCCCAATTCCACCTATAACGAAAGAGACATTGAAGAGTTACCAGTGTAGCAATGAATATACATCACAATTTCAAATTCGACATGGATCATATATTGTGAAATTCATGAACTTATTTTCTAATTCTATAGACATTACCTAGGGCTTACTATGAAGAGAATACAGTTTACATTATATGTAATACATCCCACTGCCTTGTGAAAAAAATACCAAGATGAATATAAACACAGGTCCCTTTCATGAAGTTTATAATCAACACCAAAATAATTCAAGTATGTGTTTCAAAAGGTTGTGTCATTTCAAAACAAATTTTTATGGTGGATTAAAGAAATACTTGGTTCTTAAAATATTCAACTAATTCGCTCCAGGACTGAGGCTAATTAGCAATATGTTAGCACTTCACCTGTAAAAAAAGAGACTACAGTGTGCATTGTATGTGGAGTCAGAAAACAGACTTGATACCTAGCTCTGCTCTCTTATTCGGTTATGAGTATTGTGAATATTGGCAATTTCATTTGGCTCAACCTAATAAAGCTGTTTACCCTCAGGTAAAGCAGTTGCTTTTTTGAGGCCTCCATTTCCTTGAGAGTAAGGCTGTGTTAACACTTCCCCTACCTACCTTAAAGGATTCTTCTGAAGATCAGGTGGAATAATGACTGTAAGAGGGTTCTCTGATCCAGTAAGTCTGACAAGATCCCCAAGATTCTTCATGTCTAACAAGCTCCTAGTCCAAGGCTCACACTTAGAGTAACAAGGCTTTGACTATTAGTCACTACTTGAACTTCTCAAAGATAGAAACTAAACAACAGTAGCACTAATACCATCACATTTAAATACTATTCTTAATATTCTCAAATCACCTGAGATATATTATCTCATTTAATGCACAAACAACTCTTGTAAAACAAGGCAGGTTGATATTTCCTTTATCCAGGAAACAGATATGAACAAGTGAAGTGACTTGCCTAAAATCACAATGCTAATCAATATGTAAGCTACAACTAGAACCCTGGCCTTAAATCTTTCCACCAGATGCTGCTGCCTCTCTACATGTAAAACATAAGCAACATAACTTCTATAACTCTAGCAAAATAACAGCTTTGCTCTTAGTAGCAACATTTAATGAGTGTTGGCAGGAAGTGCTACCAGAACCAGAAAGGTAAATAGTACTCCCTACTACTTGTTTCACTTGCTCATAAGGCAAAATCAAATATGCAATGCCAATTTCTTTGTCTTTCTCCTGTCCTAGCCTCAGAGACCAGGACAGAGAAAAAACAAAAACTCACCCACTAGTCAGAACATGGTACTGAATGAGAAACTAAATGGAAAACTGAAAATTAAAAAAAAAAAAAAAAAAGTCTGCCAAATGCCAAAATCCAGTCTACATCAGAATAACACCCAGACTACTCCACAACATAGGACTGGTGGTCCTTATAGAATGCCCCTCCTTCTTTACTCTCCATAACAGATGCGTCAGCACCTTCTCTCCTAGATCACTGCACCCTGCTCCCTGCCTCCAGGCTTGCAACCCCCACCTCATCCCACCACTTAGCATCTAGAAGGGTCTAAAACACAAAACTGATCATTCATCTTCTCTGATTAAAACTCTTTAGAAGCTCCCTCGTGGTCCTAAGAATAAAGCTCAAATTTCTCCACGGGGCCTACAAGACTCCAGATCTGGCCTCTGCTCATATCTCCAACCTCACCTCTAGTCATACCCCACTCTGTGCTCCCATCACAGAGAACTTGTGGTCCAATAACAGCCACTCAGTACTCCCTCTCTGGGTTTCAGGCCTTGGCCAATTGCTGCTCCTAGGCCAGGAAAGCCCTCCACTGATTTTGCCTGGATAATTTATCCTTTGGGACTCATCTTAGATATCTATTACATCCTCCACGATCCTTGACTACTCCACTCCACCAAGCCCCACACCTCTTTGATGTGTTCTAACTACTCAGGCTTACACTTTCCCTGCTATAGTTTACTGACCAGTTAACTTGTTAGTTACCCCCACCAGACTGGACATGTCTTGAGGGAAGAGATTATCTTCATTATGGTACTTCCAGCTCCCAGGATGGTGTCAGGCATGCAAAAAGCTTTTCATATTTGTTGAATAAATATCTCCACATTTCTCCACATCCACCACCAGTGTCTTGATTCAAGGCCTTACTGCTTCTTACCAGGACTATTATAATTCCCCTAACAAAGGGCTTCTCAAGCTTTAAAGTGCCTATGAATCATATGGGAATATTGTTAAAATGCAGATTCTGATTTAGTAGGTGTAGGATGGGGCCTGAGATTCTGCATTTCTAACAAGCTCCCAGCTGATGCTCTTGTTGTGGCCCAAAGAATACCCTTTAAGTAGCAAAGTCCTAATAGATTTCTCTCTGATCTCCCCCTCCTCTCCCAATCCATCCTTTGTCCGGCAACAAAAGGAATTTTTCTAAATATGATGGTATGCCCCTTATAATAACTCAGCAATTTCCCCACAAATTCAAGTTCTTAAAATGGTACACAAGGCCCTCCAAACTGTGCCCAACTCCCTGGCCTAACTTCTCCTTACATCCATGGGCAATACCCTCAGCTCTATTAAAAATGTCTATAATCTTGCCTGCACACAGAAAAAAAAAATGTTCAAACCACAGAAGTGCCAAACATTCTATCCTAGCTAATGTGAGTGAATGCTATATCTTGACCAGTCATGGCATTAGCCTTACTCTAGGCAGGTAAGATTCTCTTCCAGATAAGATTTAAGATACCTAATCATAGAATTACCTCCACCTCTTGACTACTTTCCCCCTAAATCCCTTAACATAAGCCTAAATCCAATATAGTCACATGCCAAATAATATTTCTGTCAACAAAGAACCAAGTATACAATGGTGGTCCCATTAGATAAAATTATAATGGAACTGAAAAATACCTATTGTCTAGCAACATCGTAGCCATCCTAACATCATAGTGCAACATATTACTCACATGTTTGTGGTGATGCTGGTGTAAACAAACCTACTGGGCTTCCAGTCATATAAAAATATAGCACATACAATTATGTACAGTACATAATACTTGAAAATGATAATAAATGACATTATTGGTTTATGTATTCACTAAACTATACTTTTTATCGTTATTGTAGAATGTACTCTTTCTACTCGTAAAAAAAAAAGTTTGCTGCAAAACAGAATGGCATGTTACACCAGCAGAAGCCTCTCACATCTTGGGCTTACTATTTCTCTTGATTGCATTATTTTCTCTTGTACTTGATTTAATCTTGTGTTTTGTACAGTAACATGCTGCACAGGCTTGTAGTGTAGGCGCAATAGGCTATACCATATAGCCTAGGTATGTAGTAAGCAATACCGTCTAGGTTTGTGTAAGTGCACTTTATGATGTTCAAACAATGACAAAATCACCTATCAATGCATTTCTCAGAATGTAACCCTGTCATTAAGTGGCACACGTCTGTAATAAATCCCTTCTAACACCCTCTTACTGAGACACCCGTGATTTCCCATGGCCTGTATTCTCCCTCACTACAAGGAGTAATAAACCCAATTTGTTCAACTATAGGCATGTTCCTGGTGGCCTCTGTGGAAGGCACTGACATTGCTCTTTCTCCATATTCCCATAAGAACCTGTGCATATCTCTTACATAACATTAGACTCTTGCTTTTAACTACCTAACTACCCTGACCTCCTTAATCTTAGGAACTATGGCTTGAACATAACTCATGCTCAATAATGTTTGCTGAATAAATGAAAACCATGTAAACGGTATATTTTCATATGGACTAAAAACAGAAGGAAATCAGGAAAAATACAAAGTTGATCTGAGGTCCTAGAATCATCTGTAATATTTAAATTTCCCTGATAGTAGTTAATGATTTTACCTCTATTCACCCTATTTCTCAAACTCTTAGTAGTGTTACTTCTCTAATGATATAACTTCAACTATAAAATGTTGTTTCATATTTTTACCAACGAAGTCAAACCCATTAATGGATGATTCCGCCCAAAGTTGGTAAGGCACGCAGCCAAATGGAGAAGTCTCTGTAAAGATGCTTCTAGGGCTTACTATGTGCTAGAAGCTGTTTTAAGTATATTTTCATTGACTCCTCACAACCTGAGAGAGGTATTATTATTACTCCAATTATAGAGACAAACTCAGGTTCCAAGATAAAATCGACTGAGGTCATACAGTTAGTATGTGGCAAAACTAAATCTAGAGCCCAAGCGTTAAGCTTCCGATTAGAGTGGGGAAACGGTCCGGGCCATGCTGCGGCGATCCCCTCAACCCTCACCTGCTGGGCTCTGTAGTGGTCGCACGTCCCGGACGCATCAACCACCGGCAGGCGCCCTCTTGCCTCCCGGGCACGCGCTCACCAGCGGATTCTGTCCAGGTCCCCGGCTTTTCCCGACTCGCACTCCACTTTCCCTGTAAAAGTCCATCTGCTTAAACGTTCCGGCGCTAAACCAGGCATTATGACACTAGAGTTCCGGCCCGATGCGGAAACCCGGGTATGGTAATCCCCAAGGATCCCCAAGTCTAGCTACCTGAGGCTTTTGGTCGACTAGCTTCCAAAAAGGCCCGGATTCTACCACTCCTGATTTTTCTACCTTCTGTGAGAAAGTGAGGAGAATTTAGGGAAGCTTTTTTCCTCTTCTTCCTGCATCTCATTTTCAAGCTGCAAACTCCATCCCTCATCTTACAAATAAGATCCATATATTGTTAACAATCCTTCGCCTCGAGGCGCCAGGGTCCCCTTATGCTCCATCACCCCGCAGCCGCCCAAGAGCTGTCTATGATCTCGGAGTACTGGTTCTGCTGGAATTGCTCTCGCGGAATCTTTGGAGACCACGCACCTGGACAATAAACCTTTCTACCCGCCGTTTCCCAGTCCCTCCCCGTGGGGTCGCCCACTCCGCAGGACTTCTTACTGTATCTTGTGCACGCCTCTATTTTAGGACCTTCAACACTGTATCTTAATTATCCATTTACTTCTCACTTCCTCCACCACGCTGTGAGCTTCTTGGGTCCAGAACTGTTTTGTTCTTCCTGTCCCCAGCACCTAGCATAGTA